ATTTTACTAAAACAACATTTTTCTTTCTTCTGTCTCCACATTGAGTAATACCAAATGATTGTTGAAAATGATTGTTCAAAGTTAGGAAGTAGCTGTGCCATAACTAATATAAAACGTACATAAAAAACACTTGTTCTGAGGTTAAGAGTTTTGCACATATATACCCATGCTGGAAGTTGCAGCATATGCCTGAAATAGCAAAACTAATCCTCATTGTATTTGAGGCTTTTCTCTTGGCAGATTAGATTTAGAGGAATTTTAATTTTGATTTGTATTTTCACTCTGTTCAAAAATCTTCCCAACTACAAAGATCCAGCAATTTTTTTTGATCTTTTGGATGAAAGGCAAACTGAATTCCAAATAACTGATGAACCGCTATGAGAATTATTTCAATTTAGAAAGTCAGACTTACAACTAGGTGGGAGCTCAGTCGTTAAGGCTGAGAATAACTGCTTGAGTGTAATTTTTTTTTTCCAAATCCTTTTAAGGCCCCAGTTATGATTCAGAGACAAGCATGTTATATTCCTGTCTTTCAGTGTGTCTCTGAAAAATAAAATTGTATTAAAATCTAAGATCTGAAAAATTAGGATCCTCACTATGGATCCTTACTAAGTTTACTTACCAGTCTAATCCCTATACCTTAATCAAATTCCACGTAGCTCTTTGTAGTAGATTGCTTATTCCTTCATGGTGAACTAACTGTTTTGGTTCACTTGAACATCCTCAGTACTCCCATTTTTTCAGAGAAACTATCTGCCATACAAAAATTATAACTGACAAAATTTATAACTTTATGGAGATTAACATCTGTACCTTTACCTGGTAATGTCTGGCTGCTAGAGTACCAAAAAAAAACCCCCTACCGTTAGCTGATCGACATACCCTGTCTCTCCAGGCAGCACAGTCAATATGATGTTTGCCACAAAGGGATCGTGTTTGGGCTTTCCATGAAACATGAAGTGTGAAGGGAATTATTGGGAACAGTCGTGAGCTGATAAACAGTGATTCTCAACCACTGTCTCATATCGTACTTGAAAAGGGTGGATAGCAGGCTCGTTGTGGTCATTCTAGCTGTTACAATCACAGTTTGCTGATTATAATCACGCTCAGATTAGTTTTTCCTGCTTCTGTAGTTGTCATCATTCCGCTACAAAACTGATTCATCATACAGTGAGCCCTCAGCAGACCAAGAAACATTTTACTTTGCTGAGGGGTCAGGAGAGGATTGAGGTCTGAATCGGTGCTGCTTGCTGACATAATTTCCCTTTTGATCTTGCATTAGTCAAAAAATTTTTACTTGAAAATTTTGTCTGTACACTGTATGTTGCTTTTGGCCTGAACATTGCAGAAGTCAGCTCTGTATGAGTATGATTTTTTTTTTTTTTTATTGACAGTCAAATGAAGGTTATAAATCCTCTACCTGGAGTTGTTACTGTAATGCAATTATTTGATGATGAATAACTGGCTGGCATAAAGTATATAGGCAGAAGTGTATATAGCTCTTCAGTACGTTGCTCTAGTGGAAGGCCTGGCAGAGAAAAGGATTAGTTATAGCTATAGTATAGCAGTACTCGCCCTCATAATTTTTCCTTGTGTATTACATCTTTCTTATTGTGTGCTCACATGGGTTATAATCTGAGTTTTCAGTGTTCTGGTGTTGAGGTTAACAGAGCCTGGACTACAAATGCCACTTCTCAATGACAGATATTTTCAGAAGGCTGCTGGTTAAACCTGCAAGTTTTTGTCAAGATCCTCTTCTGCACTTCCCCTCCATTCCTTTCTTTTAAAGAAGACTGGATTGACTACCTGTTTTGGTTTGTTTTCTCCCTCCACCCCCTCTTTCGCACGCGCTCTCGCTCTTTCGCACGCTTTCTGCCCTCATTGTGCGTGTATTGGCACTCGTATTCCCTAGCAGTGAGCTGGTTCAGGGAGTAAAACAAACAAAACTTTTTTTTGCAGCACAATATTTTTTTTTAGTCATTTAATTCCTTGGAACAGCTCAGTGAGCAGAAGAGAAGCAGCAGGCGGAGTAATGGGAGGAAGAAGGGCAACGCTCTTCGGTGACGATGAGCTATTAGATCATCTTGGCTGCACAGCCAGACTGCTCCTTAGGGGTGCAGTTCCCTGCTAGCCTAGGCCAGTCTGCAGGAGCTGCGGGAGCCTGCACCCTTCCTCGTGCAGGCACCAGCGTGACCTGGTGATAAACAGGCTGAGGGAGCTCAACCAAGCTAATAACTGCTCTAGCCCCCACCACCAACACTAGATTAGTTCTCAGCCATATCAATGTTAACTGGCTATGCTGGTCACCAGGTTGTTAGTCCTGGCCCAAAGGAGAGAGCAAAACAGAAGAATCTAAGGCAACACTAGAATGTCCCTTTTGATCACAGGCTACAACTAGATGAGCTGAAACGAGGCCTGAAGACACATCCTGCTTGTATAATATATATCTCAGTGCAAAGCGTTTCTTTCTCTTACTGGAAAACAGCAGCAAATAATCTCTACAGTGACAAATGTTACTGTCCCTTTCAGCTGTTTGTAGTTGTCTTGTTACTGGCTCTTGACTTAGACTAGATACTGAAGTAATTAACCACTTCAATGGGACAACAGCTTTGAGGTAAATCATCTGTGGTATTGTCTTCTAAGGACTATAAAATATCCACTTTAAGATGATGAATGCTCTTGATTTTTTTTTGTAATAACAACTTAGTGTATCCCTGTAGAATATCAGCCCTCTCACTGTTTACTGACTGTTCATTTGGGAGTGGATGAATGAGTGGCAATGCAGAAATGTAAATCACTGTTGTAACATTATTGTCCTTTTTCTCCCTGGAATCCAGCTTTTGCTGTCATTGTGCAGACAGTGGGCACAGCTATTGTGCTCATTTACTGTAAGGAAGGTTTTTTATTCAATGGATTCCTTTTTATGAAGTCTCATTATTCCTTAGTAGAATGATTTCACTCTATCAAGCATTAAAATATAAATGTTCCAGTGCCGGTATTACATTTGGTATTACACTGCAATTAAATTTTTATTTACCAAAACACTTGAGCATGTGACTTTGAGACCTCAAAACAGTTTCACAGCTCTGTATCAGAGTTCATTGTAGGCTAGTTTTTCTTTGTTTTATTGGGTGTCAAAACAGTTTTTACCATAGAATTCCACAGTAATGCAGCTATTTTTGTAAGATAAAATATGAGAATATGCAACACAGAAAGCTGAGAACTTTGAGCAGCTTGAGAGACTTAGCAGGATTTGTCCTCAGCACAAAATCTCTTAGAACAAAGCACAAAACTCTGGACCTCAGTGAAAAACAAGATTCCACATCAAATTGGTTCTCGCAAACAGGGTACTAACTTCATGGGGTTGTCTGGAAATTTTGTACTGCAGTAGTGTCAAACGTAGAACTTAATTGGCTAATCTGTCACTTGGCATGAAGAGACAGGAAATTTTTCCTTGAACCAAAATGGCAATTAAGAGATACAAGCTTTATGAATGTACTAGGTCTGGCTAGACTAACTTATTACATTTAATGGGTTTAAAATGACCTTAGCCATCTCGCTGCTTCCTCAATTATTTTTTCTTTTTATTTTTCTTTTTTTTTTTTCTCCTTTTTGGAACTTACAGCAATTACAGCTCAGCTATGATCTACTTCCATTATTCTGCTCAGTTTTTAATGTTATAACCTGATGTGTTGTTTTATGAAAGCAGGCATTGTAAAGTCCCATAAGCAGGTTATGTACAGTTTATTGATTTGTGCTTAAAGTAGAGACCTAACCTTTAGTTTTAATGAAGATGCAGAGGGCAGGCTGTTATTTTCAGATGTAGAAGTTGTAATTTCTTATACTAGTAAGGATCTCGGGTTTTTAGCAAGCTAGTATGTAATACTGATCATAGTGAGTTTGGTTGATGGTTGAGTTGTAAATATGACAGGTATATCACATATCTAATTTAGCCTTGCATCTTTTTCTGCTAGCCTCTAAATCTGTTGCAAAACAGTAAATTGTGAATAAAAAGTTCTAGAATCTTTCCATCCCCACTCTACGTTCAGTTAATACTAAGACTGTAATATAGAGTGAATAAATTGAGCCAATTTGTGTTTGAGAGAGAAGTGCAATTCTGTTGTTGAGACAGTTCAGTTCTAGAAAGTTCCTAGGGAAACTGGAATTTCATACTAGAGGTAGTATAATCTAAAAGTTAACTTTTTAGCTAACTATCTGTAGTCCTAATTTGGTGGTGACAAACTTCTGTGGAGTAACACTTTGGGAATGTTATTTCTGAATTGACAAGGTAACTCCTGCTATTTAAGTTTATAATACTCATTCAGAATAGCATCGGTTATTTTTCTGTGGGAAGATCTGGGTTTTTAAGGAGGATGGAAGACATTTCACTTAAGAAAAATGTAACTGCCTTTTGCAGAAATCAAAAATCCAGAAGAATTTCCCTTATATGTAAGCATTAAGTACAAAAATAAATTGTTAAAAAAAATAACATTAAACTTGAAAGCCGTAGCGAGGAGTCTTTTGGCTCAGCTGTGACTCCCCATTCCAGTAAATCCGTAGGAGAAACGGGGGCTTGGGAGCCCTGTTGCCAAGAACCTTGTGCACTTGGCATTGTTGGCTCTGAGGCAGCTGGGGTGGCAGAAATGCTTGTGTAGCAAACATCTGAGCTTTTCAGCAGCCCCTCAGAAATGCTGGAGGAAAGCTCGGCCTAGTTCTGCAAATATCCTGCTTATGTTTCATTAGCAATTCCTCAAAACCATTGTATTTCCATGTCCATGAATTGGCGTTTTTCCACTGCAGCCTATTCAACTGGAAATTTCCTCATCAACTCTAGTCCTCAAGTATGTATTCAGGTCTTTCCCATAGTTACAGCTCTTCTAGTCACCACTGTTGTTGGAGAAAGAGCCTACACCAGTTGTCAGGAAAACCTAGCTTTCAAGCGTTAAAAGTTTTGTTTCAGGAGGTAAGGAATTCACGTTACGGTGTGTTTGATTTGACAGGAATTCTTCAATGGGTGAAGCTGATAGACAACTTTGATGCTGAATATGAATATGTCACCAATGAAGGACCCCTGTTCACTTTCAAGACAAACCGCCATGCTCCAAATTACCGGTTAATCAACATCGACTTCAGCGACCCAGATGAATCTAAATGGAAAGTTCTTGTCCCTGAACATGAAAGAGATGTTCTAGGTAAGAGTATGTGTGAAGTGAAAGGCTTTCTCTTCTTCCCCGTGGCCCCTAAATTAATTCAGTCTTCAGTCTATTGAATGTCTTGCACAGAGCTCCTTTCTTTTTCCCTGTGTTTTAATTGTTTGAGACTTGACTTGCATGTCTTGTGATTAAAAGACTTGCCCGAGACTTGAGAAATCCAGCTGCCATTTCTGTAGCGCTGTCTCTCATCCTCTGTGGCCTTGGTAAAGTTGCTTGATCTGTCCTTGTTTTAACTCTGTGTTTGCAGGAAATGAGGGGAAAGTATTTTCCTGCTTCATGTCAGTGTTGTGAATGTTTGCCAGACACTCAGGGATTACTGCAAGTGAGGCTTTACAAGCAGAAGCAAGGACAAGAGCAAGCATCGCAGTAGTGCAGCGCACTGCAAACATGGAGATCAGAGGTTGAGACAGGTTTGTCCATCATTCCTGGGATTAGAGGAACAGATAGCTCTTAAAAGCCTCAGAAAAGTCCAGGAGCATGGAATTCTGGAGGTGTAAAAGCACATTCAGAACAGAAATCCTTGATTTTGAGCTAACTAAAATAAAAGATGTGTCGTGATAAGTTTTCTGCGCTAGGGCTCCTCTTTAGGTCAGTTTTAGGATTTTTTTAAATACTGTCATTTTGGGGAAAAATTCTGATAGAACTTTGTACTTGACACAATTTCATGTAGTACAGAGGAACCTCCCCTGAGGTATTTTTGTACAAGTATTTGACAGATCATTTGTATATGTTTATGTACTGTATCCTCCATCCAGTGCAAGATACAGTTGTGATTTATCTAACTATAGTTATTCAAAAAGACTGTGCGTTTCTTTTTCATTAATCCTTGTTTGTACAAATACCCTCATTCATTGTTTGCTACTTCTCCTGTGAAGAGCTTCTCTTTAGGAGTGGAGTTCTGTATATGTGTATATGTATGTGTATATTATAGAGTAACTTCCGTGTCTCTCCTCACTAAGACACATCTGTTTGGCTACTATTTCAAATCCCTCTTGAGATCGCACTTTCCAAAACACCAACAGATTCTTAAGAATACATTTCTCTCTGCGTTTTTCAATGTGTCCTGCTTCACCTGTGCCACAACGTAGACCAGGTCTGTCCACAGTATGACACAAATGGAGAGCAAAGCTGTTATAATATGGTGCCTGATAGGTCTTGCAGCTGCCCCAAAGCCAGCTGACCAGATCCTGTCCTGGATAACGGATGTGTGAGGGAGAACGAGGCATTGCTGGAGCATGCCCAAAACTGTAGTGACATTAAGACTTTTGGTGATCACAAAAGTAGCAAACAAAGCTTGGTGAAAAACAAATCATTATCTTGAGATTGTGAACTCTTTGAATCAGGAACCATCTTCATCTTGAATGGATTACCTTCTCAGTCCTAGGCAGAGAATAAATAATAGTTGTGACAGATTCCTTCTAAGTCTTGATTTCTGATTGTGCACGAATCTGCTGACTTTCTGTGAAGCTATATTTAAGTTATTAGGAGCGGCAATATACAATGTGAGACCGAGTTGAAGAATTGACTTAGAGATGGAGAGTGCCCAAATGCAATGGGACAGAAATGTGAACTTTTTTTCTCGTATGCTTTATTGATGTGAAATATGTTTACCGTGTGAGAATTTGCCTGAGATGTGGTCTAGCCAGCCAAAGGAGCTTTGAGCACTGGCTATATATTTCTTCTCTTTAAGGAAAAGGCTACCTCTGCTCTTGACCACACTGCGATATTTAACTCAGCCTCATTTTGTTTTCATTCTAAAGCAAAGTCATGGTGAGTTAATGTTTGTGCATACGTAAGAAACTTTTTAATGCGTAAAATGCTCCTTTAATGGATTATACGTGACAATCTTAACTGTACAAGCATAACAAGAACTGCAGTTAGAGAATCAACAGTTCAGATAAATGCGCTTACTGAGGGCAGTGGCCTTTTAGTCTATAAACACAACGGACACTCGGCTCTTACACACTTGAAGTCAAGCATAATCTGTCATATCAGACCATCAGACGGACTTTCAAGTGTCTATTTTGTATCATCAAGATTTTACTGTATAGGAATGTGAAGCCAGAGTAGGCAATCACACCCGCTTCTCTCTTTAGCTTTTTGGAATGAGTATGTTAAAGAATCAAGTTAAACGAGCAAGTGAAAGTGTCTCCGTAAGATGAATACTAAGTACATCCTAGCATCAATGCTGAAGTAAAGTAAGTTTGGATGATTCAGTTGCTTTTTTGTGGCAGACACTCGCAAATTAAGGTGTTGTATTCTCAGCACCGAGATAAGGGGATTTTATCACACTCAGCAGGTTGTAGTTCTGAATGAAACAATAACACCCTGGTTTGCCCTTGATGAAGTCAGAATCCTTTGTTCTTGAAGAGGAGACTTTCTCAGTGAAGGAAGGCAGACCAGCCATTATGTCATCTTGTTTTAATCTTTCTAAGTTTTGGTTTGAAAGGACATAATTGTAGCAGAAGGCAGTTAATAATTCATTGTCTTGAAAGCCTTGGAGTCAAGTGAATTTGACTTTTTGTGATCCAGAGATGACAGTATAATGAAATGCCTCCTGCAAAAGCTATGGCTGCAATGATTCTAAGGTTAAATGAGTATTGCTGCTTGTCCAGATGTAATTGACTGTGTTTGGAATTGCTTTATAAGCACTGTAGTCAGTGATGCTCTAGGTCACAAACGTTTGTTTGTCCTTTTACTGAAATGTAGAGATACTCAGCTCAAAAGTCTACTGCTCTTGCATGATCTGCCTGTTAGCCATAGCCCTTTTTTTTCAATATATTATCTTGGATTCAATTTGGTAAAGCTGCCACTAGACACATAAATAAACGGATTTTTATTTAGGAGTCAGGATTAATAATTATGAAACTCTGCTAGTGTCCATTAATGGCAAAAGGAGAAATTCCATGAAGTGTCTTACTGCATTCTCAGGGAGCGTTCAATAGCACAGCTAGTGTGATCTAACCGAGAACTAAACAAAAACATGTGCCTAGAAGGCAGTGTGCATGTAATTTTGTTTCACAGAGTCTTCCAAATACTTTTTGTTACTGGCTTTTACCTTTTTATCTTCAAAACTGTTTAGAAATAAACTAATTTGGGAAATTTAGCAAAAAAAAAAAAAAAAACAAATATATTCCTACAGTGAGGTTGTAAGCACACCTCATCTTTAAAAACAGAAGGTATAAAGAATTGTTCTTTTCTGATCTCACTTTGAACCAGGCTCCCTCATATGCTAAACAAAGTTAAGGTTGATGTAGTTCTCAGCACGGACTTCACACAGAGTAGAGATAAATTTAGAACTCTTCTGTAAGCTGAAGGGGAAGAAATAAATGGCAGCTATTTTAAAATGAAGAAGTTTAGGTAAGGGCTTCAGGACATTCTGGTGTATGATGAGTGTCATTTTCCGCACTCTAGAGTTTGTTTGTAAGATGTTACTTTTATATTTCAAGCTCCCTGAAAGTTAACTGTAGGAGAGATTCATATTTAACATTGAACTGGTGATTTAAATGGCAGCATAGCTGCAGTTAGGTATACTGAATTAGTTAAAAGGCACCTATAAAACCTAAATGTACCCTGATCATTGTGGACACTGGGACCCTAATCCTCAAGCACAGGACAAACCTGCTGTCTTTAGAGAGTTAAATAATTTTGAGAGATGTCTTCTGGATCACCAGAACTGCTTGACTGAGATGCACAGGGCGATGACCAGTGTCAGGTGTGTGGTGTGAGAATGCTCCCAACAGAGTATGGAAGAGGGGGAGCCCCCCAAAGTGCCTGATATCTGTGGAGCAGGACAGTTTGGAAGCGGCAGTTATATCTAGCCCTCTGGTTGTGACAATGAAAAGAAAAATAGAATGGGCCTCTTGAGAAAGGAGGCGCTAGCTGAAGCGCTAAGAGATGCGCAGTATTCCTGAGCGTACCATGGATGAGGTACGTGACCTTGAACAACAACTTGAATTTCTTTTGACCATTAAAAAAGCAAGGGCGGGGCTAGCAACAGGTTGCTAGCCTGTGCCTTGCAGACATCTGCATGCCTAAGCTCAGCTCAGTGGGTGTGAAGTGCTTCCTTTCCCTCAGCTAGAACGTGCTATCCAAGTGCAAGACAATATTTCTTCTTCTTACCTCTAACCTGCTAGTTGATAAATATTTCAGACTTTGGGGAGAGAGGCTATTGCAACTAAGTTGCTGTTATACTCCAGCAGTGTAACAAAGCTTCAGAAGAGCATTGCCCCCCTCCCCCCTCCCTCTCCCTCCCCCCCTCCCCCTATCTTTCTCTCTCCCTATCTCTCCCTCTCCCTATCTCTCTGTCTCTCTCATTTTTATGTCTCATAATATGAGAGAAGGTGGGGTATAAAATGCTCGACTTACTGAAATCAGTTGGAGTTTTGCCCTTAACTTAAACATGGCACACTATCACTGAAGGTGGGGTCTCAGAGAAAGGGCACGTGTCTTTTCATGTGTAGTTGTGAGAGCTCTTCAGTTTGTACTCACGTTTCAGAATTACTGATGTTTTATTCTGTAAATTGCTAGTACTTTACTTGCACATCTACCAGTAATTAGCCTTGAGTTGTGGTTCTGGGTCATTTTAATTGAGACCAGTGTACGTACCTGTTAATCTGCAGAGATACTACAGTTTATGATTGCTGTTTATGATGACCAGAAAACCCCAAAATGACCTTCCAGGTCTATCTTTCAGCTGAAGGCTTTGATATTCTATTAAAATACATTAATTTTTTTGTTGAATAGACACATAAGCACATTGTACAGGAAGTAACTTGGCTGTTTCTTCTGCAGAATTATGGCTACATAGCTTTCCTATTTAGCCTGGCATATTTTTTTCCTCCATCAGCCTTTCATCCTGAGCCTGTCAGGGCATGTTTTGTACGGCTGGACACTTGGTGTGCTGTAGCTACTGCTGCAGAAGTAAAAGGTCAGAACTGGCTTATGTAATTAAGGTTAGTGGCACAGATACGTTTTTGTGAAGATACAACCACCTTTTTCTGAAGCTATTCAGAAGTGGTTAATAGCAACATTGTGGGAATGGAGGTAGTGGCATGCCATTGCTAGTACTGAAAGTTGTTTATATAAAAAAAAAAAAAAGTAAAACAGCTTTTGGAAAGTAGTAGGTGAATTTATGACAAGTTGGACTAGACCATTTTTCCTGAAGAGAGTTGAGCTCAGTTTCCTAGGTACTGTTAAGAATTATAATTTCTCTAGCCCGAATTTATCTCCTGAAAAATTATGTTTACTTAACCTAGTCACATAGATGATCGCTGTCATCTTCAGTACTGGAGAGTAATTCTTCCCACCTGCTTTCAGCACCTACCAGTGTCTCCCAATGTGTCCATCACTCTCTGATGCCTGAGCCAAGAGGATTAGGTTGGAATAGGCAACTTTTACATGTTTATTTTTGTAAAATAAATCCCTTGCCAGATGTATATTTTAAGTAGATATGAGTGTGCTGATGAGCAGTTGATGAATATAAGTGTACCTTAGCATGAGAGAACGAAAAAAAGAAGTGGGAATTGCTGATCTGTTCATTGACATTAACTGGAAATAAATTGACCATATATATTGGAAAAGTCTCAAATGGTTAGCTTTTTCTTAAAAATCGTATGCGAGTCTGGGGGAAAAACAACTTAGAGGGCAAGTCACAGTATCCTAGAACAGGGTGTCCAAAATAACTGGGTGAATTGCGTTCTAGAGGTGTTTGTTGCTGCCCACGGCCTATAAAGAGAGCCTGCAGTCAGGATGCTAGGCTTAACTTCTAGGCATGTAAAGTTAGGTGACTTCAAGCTGACATGAAGTTTCCAAGCACACGGTCTAAAAGTTCGCTGGAAGTACAGAGACATGTGGGATACTTTCTTTGAAGCATGAGCAAACCTAAGGAGGCTAATTGCTAATGCAACAAACTCAACAGTATCTCCACTTCTGAATGCAGAGCGTGGGAATAGCAGAAACTCGGCTTGTAGCTTGCAGTTAAAAAATAACTCTGGTTTATATTTCAGCATTGTTTTAGCTTGCTGTGTATGTAACTGTTGGTTCTTAAAGTATCTTTTTTCTTCTGCTTCCTTTAGGTGGTCTTCAATGTTTTGTTTTATTTTGGTTTTCATATTTGTTTATAGCCTCCGTTACTGTAGGTTTTGGAGGCAGTTAGCAAAGCACCAACACCAGTTGCAACACAGATATGCCATGTGAGCAGTGCTCCTAAACCTCCTCATAGGCAGTTTTAAAAACATTTCCCATTGTCTTCTAATTGGTTATCTCCACCTTGCTGAGAGCAGTGATTTGTAAACCAAGGGGGTGATAAAGAGTTACTATTGCTGCATCTTAGGCAAGTTCTTCAATAGCAGGAAGAATCCTTATATAAGACAGCAGCCTTACTTGAAGGGTTGAACCTTTTTTTTTTTTAAGAAAAGAGTAATACTTCAACTTTCAGTGAAAGTGCGCATTAAACTGCCTTATCAAGTCATCAGTGAGGAATTAAGGTTCATCACAACTTCTTTTTAAAATAAAGATTTCTCGAGCAGTATTTTTGCTAGAGTAGAACTCTAGATTATATGTAATTTTGAAGTTTTTCTGAGAGAACCTACGATCCATTTTGTGAAACCTTAGTTGTTAGGAAACTTCAAATATAAAACTGGAGATTTTAGGTACAGATATTACTGAGAATACAAACTGAGTTTGGGTAAGCTCATTCTTACTGCAGAACAGTTCTGTGGGCAGAAGTGGTGTGTTGCTCTAGTGTTGTTTTTTATTCGTATTTTTTATTAGTAAACCAGTTCTACATGTCAATGTCGGCAAATTTGTGCAAGAACAATGTAATAAATATTTTAAACTACTACATATTCTCTTTGTATGTACAGCGAAGAATGATTCTGTATTTCAAAATATGTAATTGGATATAACAATTAAGCTTAGGAAGTTTATTTTGTTTTCCAGCCTCACTTAAAAGATTTAAGTCACTCTGGAGCTAAAATTACATAACGATTACTAATCTATATAACTGTTGTGTTGTACTGTATCTTATTATTTCAGGTCATGGCTTCATGGCTGTAAATTCAATTAGTGTGGTACTCCAGGGCTTTGGTTTGAAAATTCCCAGACTTAGGCTAGAAGTACGTGAGGGAGTTGGAAAGCCTGAAGAAAAAGGTTTTCAGACTAGTGTTATGTTTCCCTTGTCCTTCAGGAACAAGCTGAAAGGAAGGTAGATGCTACAGAGCAATTAGGATTCAAAGGTCTTTGAGCTCCAGGGGGTCATAACAGACCTGAACTGTATATGGAAAAAGAGACGGTTAAAGAAGCTAAGCTTTGCAGAGTAATAAGTTTTGACCTACAATTCAGAAAAAGCTTGTTATCCTTAATGGTGGTGGCACATAATGGATCTTTGAACTTTTGATCTTGAAACTGAATGCACAAAGATGGTTTTTATAAGACTATGTGCAGTACAACGCTTTCAACTTGGATTATTTGCTTTTTATAAGGCTTTGAGGAAACTGGAAAGAACTGTTAAATTGTAAACGATGTAAAATAGTATAAAACTGAAATGTGGTCATTTTTGCTTTGTTTCTTTGTTATTTTCTGTGTTCTTTTTCCTCTGGTATTGGGATTTTAAACTCCCTAAGTCGCAGCACTGCTTTGGCGTTACAGTGTGCCCCAGTCAGTCCTACCTGATTTTTTTCCTACTCATTTGATTCCATCTCTTTGGTTTTTTGCTTCAGGTAGGTAAGAGAAGGCATTGTCCAGTGCCCATAATCCCATTTTCCAGTCTGACTTAGGGGAAAAGTAGCACATTTGCGGTTGAAAAAGGACAAGAATCACTATACCCCAGCTAGTCTCACAGACGAAAAAACATGTCCTTCCCTCCTTCCTGATATTTTTCTTGACTTTTAACCTTGTGTTTTGTCTGTTTGTATTTGATTTGCAAATAACTGAGAAGACTTTGCTGAGAAGACTTTGAAATACTTCTGTTGCAAAGTAGGGTAACCAGTTTCTTAAATGACAGAAATCCCAAGAGGGAAGAAGAGTTTTTAATCTTCTTCTGCATGGATGATTAAATCAAAGTAGATTTGTTATGTAGTTACTTAGGATCTAAAGCCAATGGCACAAGTGTCATCTAATCTGTAAACCAAGGGGGAATATGTCACCTGATATTTTCTGGGAAAATCGAAGCCCTGGAGAGTTTATTCACAGGATAAAAAGATGGGGACTGAAGGAGGGTATTCAGTAGACTCGCAGGAATTTTTGTAGAAAATGCCAACCTGGACATTTTTTCTTCTTTTTTTTCACGTGTTTAGATTTTACAAAATACAGTTTAAAAAACTGTTGTTCCATGAAGAAGTTCACATTTCTGGGTTTTTTTGTTTTGTTTTGTTTTTCCTTCAATTCTTCTGAGGAACAAACTTACTCAGAATGTGAAAGACGCGGTGAAACACAAGTTCTCGTTGCTGCACAACTGCACGTCACAGGTCCACAGCTCTGCAGGGGCTCAGGACTGTCAGAGGGCAGGCATAAAGGAACTATTTTACTTCTGCAGTGTCATCTTTTCCCTTTTACCAGATTGGGTTCGCTGTGTCGTGCCCTGTCCCTACTACCTTACAGTCTCAAGACTGCTGTGTAACAACATTAACTTCTTAAATAAATGTTTTTGAAAATGGCGTGTTGAGGGTATCGCCTCAGAACAGCCCTTTCTCATTCATACCCACCCAGTAGAGCTTGCTTATGAGAATAGTTTACTGAATACTTGAAACAGAATGAAAGGTAAACTCTAGGCTCTGCAGTTAATGTGCAATACAGGATCACTTGTCTCTCTGTTCTTATTAGTTTAACTTGTGTCTAAATCATACTGTTTTCATTTGCATGCATTTCTGTAACTATGGCTGACGGAGATCTGTGTTTTAGTCAGTTTTAGCATTAAAATATGAGATAAAATTTAAGAACGGTGTTGATGCCTAAGTGCTCAAAATGAAAAAACACCTAAGTTAAACAGTTCTTAGTGCCTGCATCTGCATAAATCAACTTCAAGAGATGTAATTACCGTATGTCCAAAGAATGTCAGCCTTTACTTTTGGATTCACTTTTTGTTTCTGAAGACAAGTGTCTTCTCAAGCTGTAAGAATTAGGTTAGATAGATCTCAGGAGGGTTGGTGCACATACTTACAGGTCTTAACGAATTTTAGAGTCAGTTTATATCTGATTGTTTTCTTATGTTTGTTTTTTTTCACCGTATTTCCCGTGGCTTTGTTTTTCTCTTCCGCTCTCTGCAGAATGGGTGGCTTGTGTGAGGTCCAACTTCCTGGTTTTGTGCTATCTGCATGATGTGAAGAATGTCCTGCAACTTCATGACCTAGCTACTGGTGCACATCTCAAGACTTTTCCATTAGAGGTTGGCAGTATTGTGGGATATAGCGGCCAAAAGAAGGACACTGAAATATTCTATCAGTTTACTTCCTTTTTATCTCCAGGTAAGGCTTTTTTTCCCCCCATAGATATTGTTCCTATTTCTTGGAGATCTGCTTTCTCTTGTTAAGTAGGCATTAGGTATGTCTAAGATGCAGATAAAAATGCTCCCCCCACGTGGTGAGTCATGATTGTGCACTTGAAAATGCCAGCAGAGAAATTCTTGATCCCCGAAGCCTGACATCATGTTAATAAGTGAGATCTGCGTTCAGAAATTGCTCAAAACTAGCTTTACTAGAGATGGAGTTCTAGTTTTCACATCGCTCTTGCTTCACACAGCAAAACTGAACTTTACAAATTCTCCTGTAGCTCATGCGTATGTTAAATGTAGTTAAAGATTGCTGCCATGAAAGCGCTCATCACCTGAAAAAGCAGATGAGTGGTGCGGCTAGTGAGCCTTTTCTAAGGCTACTTCAAATCCTGTCACTGTCCCAAACCAGAGTTTCCTCTTTCTTCTTGAAAATATAAGTTACATTAACCAATTGTTTTAGTTGGATCTAGGAAAACTTGCAAATTTATTAAAGTTCCCACTAGGTTTAGAAATGGCTGTTTGAGCTGTATCTTACTAAGGGCAATGAACAGCCAACTAGAAAGGGCTCATTCCAAAAACGGTCTGCAAGCGTATTTCTCACTGTAAGCTGGAGTATACACTTTCAGAGAGTAAGCGTCGCATGATCTTTATCAACGAAAGAGAAAATTGAAGGTCTGAAGAGATCAAAGCAAACTAATTAAAAATGAACACTCGTCAAGGTAGCACAATATAGCATAGCGATATATGTCTTGTTTTACCAAGGTTGATATACAGATTCTGATTACAAGGAAGGAAGGAAGGAAAACTGAAGTCCATTGCAAGAAAGGAATATATCCTCAAGGCCATCTTCATTGGTTAAGATTACCGTTGACCTGTATTGAGAGTTTTCTTCATCAAGGTGGTCTTTATTTCTGTAGTGAGATGTTCCATATTCTCTAAAGTGGTCTTGGTCAGCCGACGGAGAGCTTACAACTAGGCTTGAAAACTGAGCTGTGTGATTTTGGTGCAACTGTAATGAGAAGTCTGACCTACATATGGAACAGACCAAAAAGTAACCCTCCACCTGTTCAGAAAAAGGAGTTTGTGTCTACAAAAAATGGAAATGCTGTAACTGCCTCCCTTAGAACTGTGGGAAACAGTATAAATCTTGTTGTTTTTTCTTCACTTTTCGTTTCAAAATGAGGCACTGAGACCCCTCTTGGGACATAAAGGGTTCTATAAAAAGACCTTGGAAGGTTGTTGCACACTCCGTATCTTGCAGATTTTGACACGCTCATCTTCTGTCCTGCTTTGGGAGTTTGAGAGTCCTAGTTTGAGAATTATTCCCTGATGCTGTGATGCAAAGTCTGTAGGAGACATATTATTTGTCTGATAAACTGATATAGTTGGAGGAATAAGCAGACAGTGTTTGTAGACACAATTAACTTTTTGTCTGAAACAGGACTTTCTGAGACATCTTTATATTGCATTTTGATATTAGCAATACCTTATAGCATTTGAACATTATATGAATTCATCATGTTTGCATTCTGGGTTTGTGGTGAACTAAATGTAGCTATTTTTCACACTGTTGCACTACTCTCCTGAAGAAGGTTTTATGTGATTAAGTAAAGTTTTGTTTAAAGACCTAAAACTGAATTTGTAGTCATCTTTCAATTTTCTAGTTTTGAAATGGCATGTGAATGCCAGCGCAGGCAAACTTTCTCAGGGGGTTTTCAATGAAAAGTCTGCGCCAGAGCAGTGCAAGCAGTCCCGTGGTGATAAGAACCCTGAGAGGGAATTCTTTTCGGAAGACCTATACAGTGATATACTTCTGTTACCTAAACTGTAGTATAAATAGTGTACAGCTCTTAGGTGCTGTATTAAAAGTCGCATCTTCCTTTGTAACTGAGTTGGAAGACAGGTAAAGTGTGATTGAGAATTTCAGCAGTTGTAAAGGCTTCTTGATGTCTTTCTATATGTAAATTTCTTTATATATGCACATAATTTCTTACTAAATTAAACAGGAATTGTATGCGTTTATCAGGGAAGCCCAATTAATGAGCGCTTATTTCCAAAAGAAAAGTCCTTCCGTTGCTGTAGTCAGATAGAAATGACTCAAGATAGAAGAAAAAAGGTCGATATTTTGCTTATCTTGGCGTGGGACTTTGAACTCTAAAGGGCTCATCTTCAATGCTATATGAGAATTTAACCCTGTGGTTCCCACCAGTGTCATGTTAACAGTTTCACTGTGTTAGCAGGAGAGACATGGCTAAAATCCTGTGCACTCAGTTACTTTGGAATCGATCTGGACCTTCTTTTTGATGTCTTCGAACTTAAAATGTACTCTTAACAATAATGGTCAGGTAGACTACACAGCAAAACTTCCTAGCAATGCTAATTTGTTTCTTTTTTAAAGTCATACTGATAAATTATTTTGAAGTCCATCCTTTGTAATTTTTAAATGAATTTAAATGTTCTTATAGAAATTCTGAGGTATGATATCTTATAATTATTTCAAGCATTAATTATGGCATTAGTAATAGTTTTCGTATGTGGAAGTAATACATCAAATGATTCATTTGACCTAGGGAACACTTTAATTGAGACAGCAGAGCATATGTCACTTCGCCTCTAATCAAAACACTAAAGCAGTTAGGAATGTTACTTCAGAAAAATGTATGTGTTCTGAACAAAAGAAGATGCCTTCATCTTTTATGGAAACTCTGTTTTGTAAAAATTCATAAGAGAACAAGAATTTCGTTTTTTCATCTCCTTTCTTCTTTTTCTGTGCCACTTGAGATGGAGAATGAATTAGGAAACATCTCAACATCTCTGTGAAAATGAATGTCAGTATTAAGATTGAGACATTGGGTTAAAACCTGCTTTTTTTTTTTTTTTTTAACCAAGCTACTCATCCATTAAAATGGGAGAAAGGTAGATCAGAACTGTAAGCTATAAAAAGGGGTGTTTGTGTTTACTGCAGAGACGGCAAAGCAAAGTGTATTGACACTTTGACAGTTTTCAGATTTGTGCAACTAAAACTGATTATCTCCTACCAGTGGAGAAAATATAGCTTATGTTTGTAGTATCTTTTAGGTGTTTAATAGGAGCCTTTTAGGTTATACTGAATGATCAACATGTTTGTCACTCCATTTTCAGAAGAGCCAAAAGAAGAGAACATGTTGTATATTGTGCATTGACAGACACTGAAACAACAGTGTGCTGAAGAAGATTGTCCAAAAATAACACAGAAGACAGTATAAAACTGCAAATGAGGGGATGAGATATTCACAAAACTTAGCTTTAACCTGGAGAGGCTTGTGAATTGTTGCTCGACTTGTGAATAACTGCTTGAATTATTGCAATTATTGTGAATTATTATGGTTTTTGTCACAATTTTGAAGAACGTTAATAAAAACCACCAACATTCTCACCGTGGTAACTTTGTGATTTATTTATGTCTAGCCTCGTTACAGCATCCTTGCTTTCAGTGATATTTTTTGCTGTTAGATTGCTGTAAGAATCCTTCTTGTACAATTGTGCAAGATTGGAGCTTGTCTAAAGAGCTACATAAAATATGCTTAGCAGACCAATAAATATTCCAGAATTTTGAGAAGGGAAAGGGTTTCTATACAGTTCTCAAGTTAGTATATGTCAAGAAAATACGTCATCTACTTTGCTGTTCTCTCTCTCTCTCTCTCTCTCTCTCTGTGTCTCTCTGTCTGTCTGTCTCTCTCTCTGTCTCTGTCTCTCTTTCTCTGTCTCTCTGTCTCTCTTTTTGTTTTTTTCCTTTGCTTTATGGCACAAGGGGCCATAGGTCTCAAGAGTAGCTAATACAGGACAGGATTCACAGTTGGAGACAGGGGGACACGACCTAGAATCTTGAGCCTTTTCTAGTCCTGTCAGTGACTGTGAATGATGAGATGATCAAAAACGTTCTCACAGCATGCAATAGATGGTTTCTGCTCAGTTTCAGTTAAAGCACAGCCAGATTATAAAACCTCTGTATACAAGTTCTGGTAGGTCTGGTGGTTCTACTTGAAAGGATTGTGTCAAATTATCGAAATTCTAGGTTTCAAACTTAGCAGATAAGAAGTGTGAGAATTTTCCCATTATTATTTTACTTCTTGCATAACCAGAAAAAAGATATTTTCTGTTTCCAGTTCTTTTTTGAACAAACTTCTAAACAGCATTCAGATCACAAGAGCTGACTGGAGAGGAGTTTGAGGGCACTCTTACTCTTGCTTCTACCTCTGACTTCACCCCAACCTGATGGTTCAGATAGTTTGCTTGTCACATCCCACCTCCGGGGCCAGAAGACGTCAGTCCAATAAGTTCATCTCAGTTGAGCCAGCAGAGTCTCTGCAGCTGTTAAACACGTGGAGGGGGAAGAGCCGCAACAGCTGTTTTAGCTCCTGGCTCTGTAGCCAGCCGCCATGGCTGCTCTCGCTGCATGCTGATTGCTCAGGCAGATTTTTTTCTGCTTTCCCTCAGTGTGCTTAGCATCTACAGAGAGCTCACCATGGCGTAGCTCCATTAAGAGGGGACAAAAGGGCTGGAATCAGGAAGAAAGAGGAGGGGAAGAAAACGACGTAGACTGTATGGGAGCAAGGAAAGAATGAGGAAACGAGACCAGAGAGATCACTTTTAGGTAGGTAGGTGGAACTTTTTAAGCTATGTGAAGCTTCTCTCTGCCCTATCAGTAGAATAACTGGACAAAAGCTATGGGGCTGACACGTGGTTAGACTAAATCTCCCTACGTTGCTGTCATAGTACAGTATAATTTGCACTTGTATTAAATCAGTTGGTTTTTCTTTTGGGAAACAGAAATGGATGTAACATATTAGTGCTTAATACTTGTGATAATACTGATAGTAAGCATAAGCATATATGTGAAAGGAGTGCTTTATTCATTCTAAAACCTTAGGCTTTGGTGACACAAAAATTATTTTTGGCATTTCCTGAAATATGGCCATTCCCTCTGGGCCACTCCTACCAGTCACCTGTGTGAGAACTCTGGAGTATTGCATTTATTTAGCACCCAGCAAAAGGGTGCAGGCCCCAACATTACTACGGTTCTGGGTATTAAGTGCCGCACAGATTTAAAAAAGATAAAACAAAACAGGAGATGCAGCACCAGGGGTTCAGTTTGAAGTTACTGAAATGTTACATTGCTTGACTCCTCAAACGCAGTCCATGACTGTGCTTGTTTTTAATTGTGGGGTTTCCTAATGTGCAGGTATTCTGCCTGCTTGGTATGTAAGGTCCACCAAAGCTTGGGCAGCCATACATATGTAAAATGACTGCACTGCCTGAGACTTCCTGCAGTGTTTTACTTTGTGCTTTCACGTCACTTTCTGCGTGCTAATCTTTTAGGGAAACGCTGCTTTAATGCCTGTTTGTACCTGTCACCCTGTGTTAGGCTTGCTAGTCACTTTATGTGACAAATACAATGAAGGGAAAAAATTCCCAGCAGAGTAGGGTAGTCCTGCTTTTATTCCTCCGTTAATTTACCATTATGGAAAAGGCTTTTATCAATTATTAGGAGTGTTGATTTTCATCTTGTGTTCCCTTGCCGTTCTGTAGCTTTGATTTTCCACAGTCTATAAAGGTGATTTAGTAAGGTAATCCGCTTGTATCAGATATATTTCCTCATCATTTAGTTTTCTAGTATAATTTTTACAGCCATAAGCTCAGTAATAATTACTTCTGATTTCTTGATATTATCTAAAATATGCACAATATAGCAGTATTTTAATCAAGTCCTGTCTACCTTGGTTAATTTTATGACAGTGAGAATTCCTGTAGAGGACTTGTTGCCTTAACTTTTAGAACTCTTTTCCCTAGTAATTGTTTAAAATTCCACAGAGACTAGCTGGTTTTCAAGCAGAAAAACAAAGAATAATTAACACTGTGGTTAATTTTACAAAGCATATGTATAGCTATACTATATCTGTGAATATGAGGATTTTGTAGTATTTTAACCAGTGTGCAAACACAGTGAGAGTCACAGTTTCTTTCCTGAAGGTATTACGCTCTAAGGCTCGTACTCAAGTGTTACCAGGATTGAATCACAGGGAAGACGAGTACAATCTAAAAGCAAAATTCTGCTTGGACAATTAATTCATCTTGTTCAATTACCCAAGTACATAGTATCTAGATTGCTACCTTTGTTGTGGTTCTGCCTCTTTCGATGCCTGGGAAAAAAAAAAAAAAAGAAACTGTAAAGCCTAGCAGATTTAATCTACTTCAACACATAAATTTTCTCACGTGCACAATCCTTTCGAAATAGTAGAGGTAACTCAAACAGATGATGTTGCCTTCAGATTTGCAGGGTCAGGGTGTAAAATAAATTATACAAGACCAAATGCTGTTCAGCCATATAGGTAGCCTGTATTAACTGAAAGAATGTACCAGAAGCTACTGTTTTTCACCTGCTGAATTTTCTTTACCGTTCAGTACTCCATCACAGTGCCTAATCCAGTATGCTTTTAATAATGCATGTACACTAAGTTGACAAACTTGCTCTCCGTTTTAGGTATTATATATCACTGTGATCTAACCAAAGAGGAACTGGAGCCAAGAGTTTTCCGGGAGGTGACCGTGAAAGGATTTGATCCTTCAGTTTACCAGACGATTCAGGTAATAAATATGAATCTTTGTCTTATATAGTCATTTACACAAGAGGTTAACAAAACTGCACTTGGCTAAGGGTGAGACTTTCTTGAATTGCTCCTGAGTTGAGGTCCTGAGTGGGGAGCGTAAAACTGTGAAGGAATTCTACCAAGTTTTGTTAGAGAGAGATTGGGAGATACCACTGCATGTAACCAGGCAGGCTCAATCCTCTGTCGTCTTTTGAGACTTTGCGACTGCGTTCTGTAATTTTTCCCCATGCTGTATTCTTTGCCTTTACTGGTTTAACAGCAAGCTGCTGCTTTTCCATATGGTAATGTATTTATTCCATCAGAGCAACTTACCGTGGCTCCACTAGGCGATTGTGTAGTAGGGCAAGACTGAAAAGGCAATGGAGAAATAGAGAATATTTGCAGTAGCCGCTCTCTTTCCCGGCACTTCCACACTGTTCCAGGGCCGCAGTGGGAAGCGGTAAAAATAAATAAAACCCACTCTGCTCCTACCACTCCCCAGTAAAAATAGCAGATTTTTTGCCATGAATTTGCACTGTGGATCTCTGCTGCTAAGAACTCGAGAAGAAATTGGGAAGAAAGAAGGAAATGCATCTGTACATCCATAGCTGGCATCAGATATCAAACTGTGAAACACCCTAATAACCATGATCATTTGGAAGAAAAGTAGGAAAATATCTAGTGCTATGAATAAAAAAAATCATATTCATTCATGCTGTAAAATTTCCTGTTCGGTCTACCTTTCGAAGAACTGTCGTAATATATAACGTTTGTTACTGCATCAGTGTGATTACACAGAGCACCTCACTTTGATTTCCATTAGAGCAAGTGTAAGCAACATTCCTAATGTAAAATCCCATGGGGGAGGGATTGTACATATCTGAGAGCTTTTAATATTAGTTGTTTAAACCATTTTGGACAGGACACTGGATCCTCAGCGCAAGCCACTTCATTCTGTTGTTCTGCTACTATTCTGTTTGTGCCCTGTCTACAACAGGGTAGTGTAGGGACAAGGTTCCTGGGACACTGGTGCCGTACCTAATAAATAGTAGTTTTGCACTGCGTTAATGTTCTGATGTAATTGTTTCCTAAGTTCTAATGATTGATTGGAGACTCCATGAATAAAGAATTAAAAGACACAAATATGTTTCCTACGTGGCATGGTTTCATGAAAAACAGGTCTTGTCAAATACACTTGCTACCTCTTTCTCAGGAGTCTAGAGGATAAAGTCTTTACTGGTAAAGTGCTCAGAGTCAACAAAGATTGTCAGGTAACAAAGTAACAAGGAGAATAGGTTACTAAGTTATAGCTGTTGGTTAAGTGGTTCCATTATGAGAATCTGCCATTCAGTGTAACTGAGTGTTGGAAGGATGCATCCCGCTTACATGTCTACAATCAGGTAGTTTGTGTCAGCTGGTCATTCAGAGCTCCCTTTACAATCCCTGGAAGGCCGTAAGCCAAATCTACATTAACAGCAGTGTGACGTGAAATAGCTTGTGCTGAGGATCCAGTGTCCGCTTTTGAGAGTTTAACTTTGGACGAGCTCTAGCTTGGTCCTGTAGACTGGATTTCCATTAGCAGGTGGAGTGCTTTTGGTGCACTCCTGGAGTGCATATGGTACTTCAAGTCTCATCCAAAAGGAATCCCGCCTACACGCGCCGAAATCTCTGCTATGTGAGCCAAAGCATGAGAAGCGAGAGTGGTTAGGTGACTGACTTCAAAAGCACACTTTTGTTTGGAACTGAGATGCTAGTGTAAGTGCTCCTATAGCATATCTAAAGGCTCAGACTGGTATCTCAGATAGTAGCTTGGAAACCCCTCTGTGCTAGTATGAGAGGTGAAATAGGAGGTGTCTGTTTCTCACCTATAAATGAAGACTTAGACACCTAAGTTTAAGGCTTATAAAATTAGATGCAATTAGTCCTATTAGAACAGTGAAAGCTGTGGATGAGATGGAGAAATCTCTATTGCAAACAAGCCCAGGAGAATAAAAGGATCTTTGTAGACAACTGGTTTGACACAATCACCAATATTGTGGCTAAAAGGATTATGCAAAATATACATAAGAAGTAGTAAGTGATTTTGCCACTTAACAAAGCTTTAGTAGGCCCCTCATAGGATACGGTGCCCTGGTCTGTTAAAGAAGGTATGGAACTTTGAAAGAGAGTTAATAGAAGTTTGTTGAAATAATTAGGGATCTGAAAAATCAGCCGTCACATTGTGAGACTAAACATATTTAGTCTCTCCAATTTATAGAAGACAAATTTGAGGGTGGTTTGATTATTTTAAATGTAGGATTTTGCATCCCTAGAATATATACCCTGGTACAGAGGATTTTTTTTTTCTATAGACAAAGGTATAAACAAGATCTAGTGCATAGAAACGGAACTTAAGTAAGCATAGCCTTGAAACAAGGTGAAATTATGTAGCAGAAATGATAATTAGGCACGGTGACACCATGGCATGGAGTCTTTAAAAGGAGGGTTGGGTTTTTTCTTAATCTCTTATTTTAAATTTAGCATCTGGCACATACACGGGACATAGGTTCTGTAAAAGCAAAAAGAAGGTACTATCTCTGTGCACAAGGCTATTGTAAACAGCCCCATCTGTTTATCACTGCATCTCTAGACAGTAAGAGGAATTATGTAGGGGACAGTTTGCTGTAAATGTTCTCAGAGACAGTGTGTTGTTGCTACCTCGCTCAAATTTATTGCAGGGACTTCCCCAGAATAACTTTAGGGGATAGTGGGGTGAAAAAGAGAAAGCGTTCTTTTTATGAAAGAACATAATACAATGATTATAATGCTGCTGTCAAGTTCAGCGGGATAGTAATGGAACACAAGTACACCTGTAATTAAAAAGGGGTTAGAATTACCTCTGTAATTAGAAGGGGTTGCCATAAGTTAGAAACAATATATTTTCCTAGTAGATCGCATATTTTATGAAAGAAATGTCTGGAGAATGAAAATCTTTCTTTACATTTAAATCTGTTACATGCTAGATTAGTGCAAAATAGAATAGTAATACAAATAATTTCAAGGAGGAAGCACGCTATGCTATGCCCATGGAAACATCCATTCCCCTGAATCACTGGCAGAGCTTCACCACTAGGTTATAGTGGAGTGGAAATCAATATAACTGTTTTATGGCTTTCCCCTTATTCTCTCCTGCTCCGTGCCAGCTTTAGGGAAATGAGACCTGTGTAGCTACCCTGTGGCCTAAATTCACAAAGAGCACTCTGGGATTGCCACCCATTCGGTTTTCCCTTGGACCATCTGAAAACTGAGAGTCTTTGCCCATTGCTTTTATCACATACTCTCTCTGTGTGGTGTCCTCTTGGAAATTCGTTTCCCGTATCATTTAGGTCCATGGAGCAGTTTCCATCGAGCTGTGAAAGAGGCTATTTGTAAAAGCTAGGCCTGGGACTGCCTCGTCACCTTTGTAGTAACCCAGCCTGCTGGGTTAACCCAGCCTACTGCTTTGTAGTAGCCCCAGTCCTCACTGCCATTTGTGGGGTCCCATGGGGACAAAGGCTGATGCTTCTGCTAAAGCTAATCTTGCCCTGCAAGGGAAAGGGAGATGGCAGCTCATCAGAGCAATTTGTGCATGTCTGTCAGCTTAGATGATAGCCTTGCATAGCCGTTTCAAAACTTAGATAACCATTCAAGCAATCATAAAAGAAACTCGGCATTAAGAGCACAAGAAGATGATTGAGGACAGGCAAAGACTGCTAACTATGGGAGGATAAATAACACTGTGCAATTTATTTCATGATTTTAATTTCCATCAGAATTGCTAGATGGCAAGGAGAAATCTTGTTGCCTCTGTTCTGATCAATACCCTTAATGAAAGGCACAGCCCCCGTCCCTTGCCAGGGTTCTTCCTTTGTTCTCATATAGTTGAAGAAATATACGTTAAGCCTAGTGATTATCTGAGCCTTGCCTGAATAGCACATGTGAAACTTTAATGAGTTGTTATTGTCTAGCAGTCTTTGAACATAACTGAGAGGACTTGAACTGAAGTATAAGGTGTCATGTGTATGGGGAGCCTAAGTAGTGACAATTGGAAAATGCCACGGTGCCTGTCTTTTGTTCTTTTGGATCCACTTTAAAGCATTCCGGAGACTCCTTGCAGCGCAAATATGGACCGGTGATAACGTTTACTGCAGTATGTGAATTTATGGCCGAGCAGCTGCTTTGTAGTACCTGAGGGTGTGTTCTTACCCTTTGGTAACCCAAAGTAAGAACAAAAAGCCAACCCACTCTCCATTGAAGGGTGAGCTGTTTCAAAGTACCAGACCTTTACACCGGGGTAAGAGCATGCCCGTAGGTTGTTGGCTTTGACTACCTGACACACTGCAAGTTCACAGCCTAACTTACTGTGCAGTGGCTTGTGCCTATGCCCTTACCTTAAAAAACTATCAATGTGACCTTCATGAAAAATCAAGTCTGTTTAAAATGCTTGCCACACGTCAAGAATTTATCCTGGCTACTTCAGCTGAATGGTATATTAAAGAGTGTTAATAACTTCTCTCTGCAAAATGCTTTCTGAGATTTGATTTTGTTCCTCTGCACACTTTCTTCCTTTACAGTGGCAGACTTTATCAGAAAGTAGCCTAAATCCGTGACTTTTTTTTTTTTTTTAACAGAAAAACATATTTCTGCAAGAAACTATAAACAAAGCTTTCCATAAGCTGCTTACTGCAGAAATAACTACTGCTTTAAATAAAAAGTCTTAATTTTATCTTTACAACCTTGCCAGCTAAGCTCTTACATGCCTCTCCATATTTACACCTCACAGTGGCACTTAATCACAGATAAGCAGACTTCTGTCCTGGCTCAGGATTCACCTACTTTTGTGCTGGTATGCAGGATTGTAAGTGTTGAATTTGCAACAGTTAAAATGTTGTTTGGCTCCTTTTGCCATTCTTTGAATACCTTCCAGTACTGTCTTTAAAATAGTTTGAGATGAACAAAAATAGATGTAGCTATTGGCAG